TCTCCTTCTCTCTTCCCCTCTTCTTCCCCTACCCTTCCCTCCTTCCCTCCTTTGTTCCTCTCCTGGGTAATATCATTCTTTATTTTCTCTTTTCAGAAAAAGCAAAATGTAACCTTTGGTGGTCAGATGTCTCCTAAACTGAGGCCTTTATGAGAGGGTCACATGGGACATGGCTATGGTAGTCCCAAAAAGGAAGCCAAGGCTGCTTAGTTGACTGATAGGATATCGGTAGCAATTTATAACTCCTCCTCCTTCCTGCTCCTGTAGTCAATCTAGTGCATTAAATACTCCCCACATCTGTTCCCTCTCTGCTTCTACTCCTGTTGTCTTGGCTCTCATGTGCACTTGCCTGGAGTACTGTAATAGTCTCTGATTTGATCCTGTTTCTGATCTCTTCTGATCTCTTCCTGAAAGCCAATACACACTTTTCACTGCTGCCTTTGAAAAACATAAAATGATCATGCCACTTCCTTGATTTGGAACCCTCAATGATCTCTTACTGCATGCAGAACAAAGGTCACACTCTGCAGGAAAATGCTCTAAAAATTCTTTTAGAATCTGATCATGCCTCACCTCTCCTCTCCCTCTGCTCACTGCTTTTCCACTTTAACTACTATGGATGGTTTGTTTCTCAGAAGCCCGTGCTTCTCAGCTCCCTTGTGTCCTGGGAGCTTCTGAAGCTCTTTGTATCATAGTTCTGATGCTGCTTGACTTACCATAGCATTCCATCCTGATAAGTGCATCATAAGTTGGAAATATTGAAAGTTTGCTGTGCATTTGGTACACATGTGTGACCTATTCAACGTGTGAGCTTAGTTTAGCCTAATTGCAACATCCTCGGCTCTCTTCTGTTAGCCTACAGTTGGGCAACTCATCTAACACAAAGTCTTCCTTACAATAAAGTGATCCAGATCTCATGTAACTCTTGAACATAGTCCCCTGTATGCCATACCCTACAGGGATTCTGTGGTTTCTTCTATTGGTCACATAGTGCCACCTCGGAGAAAGATGGACATTTGAAATTCCAGGTATGATTTCTACTCCTTTTGCAACCTCATCTTTAGTGGAACCATTAAAAGTTGGGGAGCATTTGCACATCTGAGTGGTCAGAGTACAGCCAGGACTTGTGGAAGAATGAGCGAGCCAGGAATAGTCATGGCAGGCTATAGAACCATGATTCTATTTTCGACACTGGTATGATTATTGTCTCTTATCAACTTTTTCTAAATGGTGCTCCCTGACTCCCCAGGGGCCCACACGAAATTAGTGCAAATTACAATGAAAAAAGTTTAGCCTTTCTAATAATTCAAAAGCTTAGCAAAATGTCAACTTGTTCTAGTTTTGATGGAATGAAACAATTTAATGTAGCAGCTCTATATCATACCACTTAGAAGAACTAATTAGCATTCTTCAGTTAGTAAATCTGGGAAATGTTGAAACTGCTTAAAACATTATAAAAGTAAATACATAATCTTTTTAAAACTTAGATATTTATAATATCTAGGAATAAATTAAAACTACCTTGGCTCTTATTTTTTCCTGTGTTGTACCACAAAGACAGAGTCTTCTATCTCTTTGTATTCTCAAATCCTAAATCAGAGATTGGCTTATATCATAGGATAAACAAGTATTTGTTTGCTAAATAACTAGACAAGCTCTGAACACTTTTTGAAAGAGAAGGAAACCAATTATATTCAAGAATCAAGGTAAACCATTTAGAGGACAATAACAAACTAGACCCTATTTACAAAAGGTGCCAGGAAGGATGCTTGCTTTCAAGGTTGTGATCTGTTGGCTTAGCTGCCTTAGGCCTGAGCTTGGTGGGGCTGAAAACCCTGCTCATGGCTAGGAGGGAAAAGAGAAGAGACTGAGACCCCACAGTTCCCTTCAAGGGCCCCCAGTGACTTGAGGACCTCTCACTGGGTCCCACCTCTTCAGAGTTCCACATCCCACTAGCTCCACTGTGGGGTCTGGAGTTTTAAACACATCAGCCTCAGAAGACATTTAGGACCTGAACTGCAACATGAACTCAGTATGAATCAGTCAACATTAATGCCTTTCTTCTTTTAGAAGATCTATAGATCTATATTTGAAATAGATCCATATTCAATAGATCTGTATTTGAAAAGAAGTGCATCTGTTCATACCTGTGCGACTCTGGACAAATCTTTTTCACCTCTTTGAGCTCACATTTATTTAACTGTAAAATGAGAAAAGTAATATTTAGTTTGGAACACTGTTGTGAAGATTAAATCTTATATACGCAGAAGTACTTTGTCAACTGCAAAGTGCTATGCACATATGAGATTTCAAACATTAGCTACTGATATTACTCAACAGTTATATGATATATGTCAGCAACCTTGTGGTCTTGTGGACCACTTTCTGAAAAAGACACAACCCTTAACCCAGAGTGAATTGGGCAGCCAGGGGCACTGGCAGAAGATGATGTGTATTTCAAGAGGCTCACTTTGGCTGCGGAACTTGGAATAGACTCTAGGGAGAGGAAAGGAGGGGCAGGGGCAGGTGATGAAGGCAAAAGGTGATGTTGTCTGAGGCCAGAATGGTGGGTAGTAAGAGGGTTAACGAGAGCAGATGGATTCAGATTCCTTCTAGAGATAGAACCAGTGGTATTTCCTGGCAGTTGAATGCAGGATAATGACAGGAGAGACAGCACAGAGGACTGTGCTGTGATTGTGAGGGGAGCCTGAGGAGTCCTTGCATGGTGATGGGATACTGCTGCAGGTTGCATGGTTTGGAGGGAGGAGCAGTGTTCCGCTTTGGGCATGTCAAATTTGAGGCGTTGTTAGGTGTGCAAGTGGACAGGTCCAGTAGGAAGCCCAGTATAAGACGTGGCTGTGATAAAAGACACAGAATTTGGGAGCTGTCAGTGTGTAGGCGGGTGGTATGTAAAGACTGCAGCTAACAAGGGTCTGGTCATTTTGTTTATTTCCAAGATGACTGACAGGGTTGTTCCTTTATTCCCTTCTGTTCTTTTTCTCTCTCTAACCTCCCCACTTCAGTGAGTCCTTCTATACAGTCAACCATTCATATTTTAGCTCTTTTGTGTTTTCTAGTTTTTTTTTTTGCCTCTCTTCAGTTTCTCCAGTGCAGTGTCTGCTGTGCTTTGTCAGGGATTTGGGTCCAAATTGTAGGGGGAAAAAGCTCACAGACATAGAGATAAACACAGGACCCTGGCTTCTTGGAGTTGGTGTACTCACCTTGGAGAACCTGGAGAGAACCGGGCACAGCTGCCCACAGATCTGGGTGGCTGAGCAACACCACTACCACCAGCAAGGCCCAGAAAGTAGAAGTGTACCTACTGCATACCGTCTGGGACACCAATTGGTTGGGTGGGGTGTGGGAAACTCAGAGAATCACTGGTATATACTTCAGTGGGGGAAGTCAGTCCATCTCCGTGAGAAACATCAGAAGTGTATGGAAAGCACAACAAGACAAGAGCTGGATGGAGAAGTTACTGAGGCAATCAGCTGCTCCTGTTTGGCTGATTGCTTCCAAGGAAATGTCACATTACCCACAAAGTTTTCTTGATCCATGATGCTCCATCTACTCTTTTTATAAATAGATTATTTCATTGCTGTGAAAAGTGTACTTGTTTTGTAAAAGCTATTAGAAAATAGAAATAAACCACCAAAAGACTTTTTTTCCCCCAGAGCGTACCATGAAGCTGTTCTTTGGCTGTTTTTCTATATATGTATTTATTTTACAAAAATGAGAACATAATATACTCCTCTGCAGGTTCTTTTCTCATATGATGATATCCCTGATGATATCATGCTGCTTATCATCATCGGCATGACTATTTGTGTGGATGGATTGTAGCTTGTTTCTTTGTATCCCTTTCTGGCATCCAGGCCAGATATCCTTGCAGGCACAAGCTATTAGAAAGCTCATTTTCTTCCATATCATCTTCATAAACTTCCTCTGTCTTGTAGGTGGGAAATTTGACACCTAAGAGGGCGTAGGGGTCACATGCTCAGCAGCTATGGATCAAGAATGCAAAGAATGTATCTGAACTCCCAGCCCAGTCCTCTCTACTTCTAGTTCTGGGACTGGAGTCAACCTGGCATCTGTGAAACACACATGCAGCAGCAGACTTTGGCAGGGAAGTTTTGGCGAAATACGACAGCAGAGATGCCTTGTGGTTCTTTGGGAACTTTCAGTTTTACTTCAGAGCCTGAAACCCCAGATTTTCACAAAGGGGTGAAGTTGCTGTATGAGCTGTGGGGTGCAGGCCACTTTTGGAAGTTAACTCATGAGCTGAAATTTGCAAAATCCACAGTTGTACCATAGCTCCGTTCTAGCCAAGACTCTGAGAGGTGCAAAAAGATCCTGGGGTAGTGAATGATCACCTAGCATCTCAATTCTGGTTTCCTATCATTTCTAAGAGGCCTCCACCCAGCACCGAGTCCCATGAAAACTGACAGCATTCTGACTTTGCTAATCATCAGGAATGATTTTACATTGGACCAAAACATTCCTGAATTCCTTGCTGAGGGGGAGAAGGATGCTTGGAAAGCTTCAGATCACACTCAGCAGAAAGTGAAGAGTGAAGAAGGTTGGGGAATCCAGCCAGCATCTCCAGCCCTGTCCATGATCCCAGGTGTGCTGTACTGGAGATCAACCTGGTTGTGCCTCTCCTGGCATAATGTCTTCCCCGACTTCAGGCCCCAGCCTGGCACATGACCCCTCACAGCCTGGCCTCTTCCCACCTCTGCCTCATCACTGCCACTTTACTTGCAGCAACATGAAACTTCTGGTCCATTCCCCAACAAAGCGTCCTGCCAATACATCTAGAACTTCCTTTCTGAATGCCTTTTTTTGTCTTTTGTCTATGTTATTCTCACTCGGCTGGTGTTGGTGTCTCTTTCCTTTATTTATTTATTTTAAACAAAATTCACATATTATTTAGATTGAAATAAACTATGCAAAATTTTCTTCACCAAAAATAACAGCAACATTTTCTGTATTCTTTCTAGATAAACCACAAAACATTCATTTGGTAGGTTTTCGGGTTTTACTTATAAATCAAGACGAGGCAGTAGATAAGAGTCATGGGAAAAGACAGAAGAAAACAGACATGTCAGTTGCCTGCATGGATGGCCTCTCATTCTGTCTTGACGGTGAAGCAGCAGTGTTCAATATTCACCTACCAAGAAGCTTATGAAGATGTAGGCCCCATGAAGGAATGTAAACAGCAACAACCAGACATGGAATGACAGCAGCAACTTCTTCCATTCAAGCTTCAACTGTAACCTCTTCTTTTAATTTCCTTTAATGAAGACAGAATCTACACTGAAATCAGGTGAGCTCATAAACTTCTCTTTAGTAATTCCATTAGACTTTTAATAACACACTGAAAACGCCTCCTAATCACAGGACAATGATGGCCTTCACCGTAACATTTTATAAGATGCATTCCTTTCTCCACACCACCTCCAAATCCATTTCTTCAAAAACTGACAACTTAATACTTGAAAGCGGATACACAATGACAGTGGGTCATCTAAAATGACTTAATTAAAACAATTCCATTGTGCCACCCGCAGAGGTCATGCCAAAGTGAAGTGTGGCACTTACAATGCTGTCTTCTAGGAGAACAGACAAGTCTCAGGGCAGGAGAATTTAAATATGGAGATTATCAATGGCTAATATATTCAACGACAGGCCTAGTGGCTAACATATTCAGGGATTAGGTGGCTTATATACCCCTTATAGCTTTTCTTTCAAATAGCAAATAGAAGAAAAAGCCCACTTTAAAAGTCTGTTAGGTACTTTCAACAGTTTCTGAATTATCTGTAGGAAGCTCTGATGTAGTTGTCTATAGTTTGATATATGTGTCCACCATTAAGTCCAGATCATGTTTTATATCAAAATTTTTGTTAAACAAAGCCAAGTTACTTGACCTCTTGTCTGTCAAAGTGTTCCTCAAGCATGCTTTGAGATGCTTCTGTCCATTTTCATAGCGCCCATTCTCAACTTTCATCACAGGAAGAACATACAGGACCTTTAGCAAGGCGCACATGAGGGAAAAGCTTGATGTCAGGCAGATGGAGGGCTTCATAAATGGTAGACGGGAGTTCTGTGTCTTTCCCTCTGTGTTTCCATTTGATTCTCCAACACTGAAGTTCAGCCGAGAGTATGTGAGGACTGGGTGAGTCGCTTCTGTACACAGCAGCCTGATGTCCCTCTGACGTGTTGAATGTGAGCTGTCCCATGACTGAGGGTACCAGAGACAAGCACTGAAGAGCTCTGAGATGCTGCTCTGAGAATATATCTTTAAGTTCCTGAAAATGTGCTCCACTGTTGGGACACTCACTCGGGGTTTCTTTACAGTAATTCTCGGAGGTTAACTGAGAATCCAGGCGACCTTGTCGAGCCCTATGAAATTTCCCAGCGAGTTGCATTTGAATATCAAGTTTGGTTACCAAATTTGTGGCTTCCTCAAACCAAAACTCATGATAAACTTTAATATTTTCCATCACTCCATTGAGTGAGTGCAGTGCAGCGGTCAAGCTACTGGCTGCAAAGAAGACATCAGAAGTTTGTCCCTGGAGACTTTTCCCAAGGCCCTTGTAAAAGATAAGACATTTTTAAGAACAACAATGGTAACAGTAAAATCTGTTAGTGCACTACAGAGTACAAATGCTCAGTGAGCTATACAGTTATTCTATCAAATATCTGTGTCACTATTTATACCATCAAAACATAAAATAAGTGCTTGCAGCAGGTCCACTAAAACTTCAGAAGCATCATGCCTGCCTGTCCACTGAGAATGACATGTTTCCTTCAGTTCTTTACCCCTTTCTTCACTGTTCTGGAAAAGAACAGAAATTACACTGTCAAGTTCTAAAAGTAGTTGTGATCGATGGAAAAAAGAACAAATTCCTTGATTGTTCCCAACGCAACTGATATCCTTACCACCGGCACTGATTTTGCCAACCACACATTTCGGGCACAGGAAAAGCAGAGTGTGCAGATCACTGGGGGATATTTCTGTAAGTAGTCTAGGAGCAACAACTTTCATTTTAGAAGAAAATCCACTGGACACAATATAAGCTTGGTCACGACATTACTCCACATTTCATCCCCACTTCTCAGTTATTGCAGTGTGAAATTTCACAGCCAAAATTTCCGCATCAGTTTCATAAGGCAGGAAGCCCACAAACTCCTCTCTGAGGCTGTGAGATTCATCAACAGTCCTCACCAAGACAGCTAAGCACTCTTCTATTGTGTCCACCAAATCATCAGTGACGACGGAAAAGAAGTGTAGTCCCTCAATTCCCTGAGGGTTTCTTCCCTGTCACAGCTCTCACAGATCTCCAGCATCCGTTTCTGTGGTATTTTTGAAAAGAGCAAGGTGTTAACAGCTGTGGTCTCAAAGCGCTTTCTCAGAACCTCTTCGCCACCCTTCATCTGGCGCTCCAACAAAGCTTGGAAGTTGTCAGGCGTAGAGAGACCTTCCGGGATATCATGGGTCTCGTGCCCATCTAGAGGTATGTTTTGTTTCCCCTAAGATTCAAAATTTCAAATACAGACTTTAAGTGTTCTTTGTTTTCCTTCTTTCAAGGGTTAAAGGTCAAATGTCTTCATCCTGCTCATTGCCCCTGAAGTCCGCACTGGGATTCCAAGCATTGCTATTTCATCAATTTTCTTCTGTTTCGGTGTCCTGATTTCATCTGCACTCAGTTCTTTTATTTGTTTTCAGTGTTGACTATGTGGATTGTACAAATGACTGGTAAGATCAAATACTGCTGGTATTGCATTATCTCCAAGAACGGTCCTATAAGGACTCTCCCAATGACTGCAAGAGTCTCTGCTTCAATTAATTTTGAGAAATAAAATAACCCAATCGTTCTCTAGTTTTTTAATGCCTCTGCAAATTGGATAGTTCTACAGATCATAGAGGTCTCAAAGTGTTTGGCACACAACCGATACTGTTTATTTAGTCAATCAGGTGTTTTATCTTCTAAGTCTGCTCTCCTACAATTCTCCCGCTTCTGGCAGTGGGTGGGAACCTGAAGAAAGACGGGTTGGATTGTGCGCTCTTCCGCCTGCAGTGCAGTTGGGGGCCCCGCAGAAATTCAGCAACATCACCCACCTGCCAGCCCAGTCCTCCCCTCCCGGCCTCCTCAGGGCAGCCCGCCCGGGATGCTGCCCTCCTGTATTTATTATAAAATCCAATACACCGATCCCTGCTTATATGTGGGATCTGCAACTGTGCATTTAACCAACCAGGTATTGAAAATATTAAAGAAACTTTCAACTAAACTGAACAAGCACAGATTTTGCTTATTATTTCCCCTCCTGCACAGTATAATTATTTTCATAAGCTTTATATTAGGTGTTATAAATAAACAAGACATGATTTAAAGTATATAAGAGGATGTGTGTCCATTACAAGCAAATGCTACATCATTTTATACGGGACTTGAGCATTCTCACAGTTTGGGGTGTCTGAGAGGGGCGCGGATGGACTGTTTGCCTTTGATCAAATTTCTGGAACCTGATATGTTTCTTGAAATATTCGTGACAGTTTTCAGTCAGGGGATTGACCTTGATCTTAAATCTTGAGCTCCTTGCCAGGGTCAGAGTTACCTCAGCCCACAGCATGTTCCAAGTCTTTGGGCACTTGCTAAACATGCAGCATTAATGAAGCAGGAAGGACCCATTTACTGAAAAAGGATCTCATCGCTTCCTTTCCAGCTGGAAGTTGTCTGGATGGCATCATTGGTTTTTGCTAGTACTCCACTTAGGATATTTACTTAAGTATTGGCAGTGATAAAACGGTGGGTAAGAAATTGCACATTCATCAAAAGTAGGCGGCCTGATAGAAATGCATGAACATCGTCCTCATCTCCAAATTAAATTACCATATGTACATGGTTTGACTTGTCATTTATGTACTTGTATATTTATATACCCATCATCCTTAATCACCCACAAGAATAAATGAGTGCATTTAAGAACAAATGTTTGCAACATAAGCTAATGGTTAATTGAAAATTTCTTCATGGAGGAGAAAGCTGAAAGACAATATGAGAGAAGACAAAAGCCTTTTAAAAGAACAAGAAGACTCAATAACATACACTCAGATTTTTTTTTTTTTTTTTTGGTTTTTTGAGACAGGGTCTCACTATGTAGTTGAGACTGACCTGGAACTCACTATGTAGCCCAGGCTGGTCTCAAATTCACAGCAATCCTCCTGCCTCAGCCTCCTGAGTGCTAGGATTACAGGAGTGCGCCACCACACCCGGCCATACACTCAGATTTTTAACTCAACGTAGAGGACATTCCAGGTTAGGTGCCTCAAAATCATTCTTTTAAAAGCATTCTCTAAGCAGTACAGAGAGATAACTCAGCTATCAGAAAGTGCACTGAATTAGGCATTGCAAAATTTGGTTCCAATCCTGAGTAGCCTTTTTTGGTTGTATGATCACAGGAATTCAGGGGAACTTCTGCAAGTTTGTTTCCTTGTGTTTAAGACTAATGTTGCTAGAAAAATATTTATGAAAATATTTTCAGATGCTAAAGACAGCTCAACTGCATAAATGTCATTTTCTATGCAAATATGCATTTTATCAAAATCAAGATCATCGAGCTCAGAAAAATGCCATGACTACCATTACTACTACTACTAGTACTACTACTACTACTACTACTAACTACTACTATGGCCTCTTAATGATGACAATGCGATGTGATTATGATGATGATGATGATGATGATGATGATGATGATAAAAGATATTTTTGAAAATTTACTACCATATCCCTGGGTTGTCTTGGAATTTTATATGAGTTAATCATTTGTGCCCCATAAAGCCCCTATGAAGTAATTTCCCATATTTTATACATAAGAACTGGCTCTCTGGAGAAGTTCAGTAGCTTGCTTAAGATTGCATAGCTAGTAATCAAAATGCCTGTGTCTTCAACCTAAGGTTGGACTCTAGAGCACAAACAACAACAGTTATTTGCTTCTCCCTGTCTAATAAGAATTAATTTGTAGTTGGATGGTGCTTTATTTCTTTCCTAATAAAAATTTCATTTTATCCCTGTAGTGGTCCTGTGAAATGGAAGTTATTGTCCTTATTTTACTGGTGTGAAACTTGGGTCAAAAAAATTAAGGGATTTGCCCAAAGTCATGCTGCTCTGGAAGGGTAAATCAGTTGCTACTATGATGGTGGTGACTACGGACTTCTCCTGTGTGATTTCAGGGTCTGTTTACTCTGTTTCCCCTGACACTTTCCCATTGAAGACACCTCCTGTGAGGACCCTGGCTGAGGATTGGTGTGGTTTGATTTGTCTTGAGAGCTTTCTCTTCTTGGCCACTCTTTGCAACACTCTGTCTATGATAGATGAAGCTAATTGTTTCTACAAACGTCATGTAGTTCTTCAGAGCCTAGAAAGAGCTACAGTGGACTTCCAGACCAAATGTTACTGGCCTTGGAGGAAGTCACCTTGGGGAGAGAGCCTCAGGTGAACTCTGCTTATGATGCCAGGGTCACCTCTCTCCAGGTGCTAAGCTCACTCCTTAGCCACACTTCCTCTGGGGAAGACACACAGTTGGCCTTAGCACAGTACTCAATGTGTCATTGCCCTGTACAAATCCTCAGCATGCCTCTTCCTTCCTACTGTCTGTAGTTTTGCATGCTCCACACCTGGCCTTGACCTGTCTGTTCCCTAGCCTCCTCCCGTCTCCCAGTTGCTCCATGTCCCCAAGTTATCGTGGCACCTTGCTTAGGACTCCCGTCTCCTCACTCTCCACTTGGCTAAAGCAATCTTAGATCACTTGTGCCTTCTGTGAACCTGCTCTGCGCTCCTGTCTGTTCTCCCGTCACATCTGAGAGATGCACTTGTCATGTAGCACTTAACTGCACTAATACATTAGCATGGAGATGGCCTGTTTGATTGCCCATCACCTGTAGTATGCTAGGAGCTCTTAGACAGCAGAGTTTTTCCAGTATCCACTCTGCTGTCAGCACATAGTAGGTGCTCACTGTGTAGCTGCTGATTAAATGCTGATCCCTTATCTCAGAAGTCACTAAATAGTTTGAAAAGATCTTTTTATTCCTGTCCATCTCTTCCAGACTGTAAACTTCTTGGGTACAGATAGTTTTGCATATTCTCTACTGTAGACTGAGTGACTGACATAGAGGAGATGTTCAGTAAATGAGAAACCAGCCAGGGATTCAAACCATTGGATCCTGCTCTTCAGCCTCTCCATAGTCTGTCCTTCAATGTAAAACATATCCTTTCCCAAGTTGCTATATCTCCAATGTTCTCTTTATTTCTAAGGTCTTCTTTTATGGTCTGACATATACATTTTTTCATTTGCTTATATTATTTATTCTCATATTTCTAGTGTCTAGTGTCTTAGTCTTAATATTCTTCTCTATGAATGAAAATATAAATGTAAGCATCAACAGGGAAGTAATTTTCATATTATTACAGCTTCCTCCAGCTTTTTGTTTTAAAAGCTATGTATTCATTAATGATAAACATATTTAATAACCTCCTAAAATGTGCCTCTGTGTAGGTATCTTATTGATGAATCACACTGATCCTTACAACCATAAGAAGGAGGCATGGAGAAACCAAAGATAAATAAAGTTAAGAGCTTTGCTTAACATCTTGTCCCAGATGGTGAGTACCAGAAGCAGAATTTAAATATAGAAACTATGGTTTCATCCACTTCAACCTCTGTACAGTGGAGTCTGTTTAGAAAGCAGAGAAAAAATAAGGATATAAAACATACCTATAATTCCAATCCACTGTCTAGAGACAACCACTGCTAATGCTTCGGTACATGGTCCTCCAAATTGAGGTGGCAGTCCTATAATGAGGGACCCCAACTCCTGCTGTGCACATTGCTGTGTGACCCACTCATCTTGAGCAGGGGCTGGACTTATGACTCACTTCTAGTTAATAGAATAAAGCAGAGCAGATTGGATGTAACTTCTGAGATTAGGTTACAAAGAGATATCAGTCATTATTGTGGGCCTCCCATCCCACCCCCCCGAATACACACACACACTCACATACACACACACACACACACACACACACACACACATACATACACACACACTGGAGAAGTAAATTGTTAAGCTGCAGGAAGTTATTCAGAAATTCTTGCACCGAAAAACTGATTATCTCTGATTGACTTAGTTACTTTCTCATTGCAGGGAACAGTCACAGTGTAAAGGAGGGAAGGTTTACTTGGCTCATGGTTTGTAGAGGTTCAGTCCAGGTTTGGCTGGCTCCAAGGCAGGACATAGCAGAGGGCCATGGTAGGCCATACCTTCAGTGACTTTTCAACTTCCAACATCACATTTAGTTACAGACTCATCAGTGAACTAATCCAATGATGATTATCATGCTCCCATGATCCAATCACCTCTCCAAAGTGGGCAGGAAGCAGATCTCCCCAGAGGAGCCTTCACTTGACTGGCCTGTCCACATATGGATTCTGCCTGGGAGGTGTGAGCTGGAGACATCTGCTGAGGTCTGCCTGGATCCCTGGTACCAGCCTAGGAGGGAACAAACGTTTGTTGCATTAATTCAGGGAATACTTTGACACATAGCAACAGATAAATAATGTATAAACATATACATATTGAAATAAGTATTTAATCCTTTGTTTTACTATTTAGCATAGATCCAAATTGAATTTATCAATGAGAGTAAATGGATGAATCATATTTGTATTTCACAGTAATTTTCAAGAAAACTTTATTTATAATTGTGAAGTAGAACCATGCTTCAGAAAGCATGCAAAGCTTAAATACACAGCTGAAAGAATTGTAAATAAACAGCAAGGTTCCAATGTCACTATATTTTATTTTTAAATGAAGTAAATATGCAAGCATATGTAAAATCAGTTGCAATTTCATCTTCGAAGACAGGATGAAAGGAAGGCTAAGTAGATGAATCATTTTGAGATAATTTAGGATTTGGAGTATCTAAATTAGTGTGAAATATTGTTGTATACTTTAACAAACTGAAGATGAAATTCCTAGTCAAAATTAGTCATCAGGAGGAAGTCTAGAAATCATACCACAGAGGAACACATGCAATATGTGGGACAGAGTGGGGCCTCAGTACAAAACTGATGAATAGACGAATAGACCTAGAATTAAAAAATACCTTTCATTTGACCCCCTCCTAGGGCTTGTAAGTGTGTGAATGCTGCCTTAATGTATTCAAACTTAAGTTTTCTCATCCTTAAATTACAAACACACTTGTAAAGTTGTGAGGTTTAAAATAAATGGCATTGTTCCTCTGAGGCTCTGTTCAGCACTCAGTAAATACACAATACTTGAACTACCAGAGTGTAGTAAGTCTGGTTTTGGGGTACACCAGTGATTTGTCACTACATTGAAATTATTTTTTGATAAATTTTTTTTGTTTTGGTACCAGGTATCAAACTCAGGACCTTGCGCATGTGAGGAAGGTGGCAGCACCACTGAGCTAAATCCCCAGCCCCTCAAAAGTATTCTATTACAGTAAAATACACATCATGTAAGTACCATCTTTTTCATCTTAATCACTTTAAGTGTACTGATATTAGATGCATTAATATCTTTACACAACTGTTACCTCCCATCCACCTCTAGAACTCTTCATCTTGCAAAAACTGAAACTCTATCCATTAAACACTCCTTTCCCTTCCTCCCTCTCCAGTCCCTGCAAACCACCACTGTGTTTTCTGTCTTCTTAAGTTTGACTTCTTTATAATTTTGGCTACGCTATGAATTTGTCTATTCTAGGGGGTCTTGTGTGAGCAGCATCGTGCAGTGTGTGTCTTTCTGTGACTAGCTGACTTCACTCAGTGTGGTCAGTGTCCTTAAATTGGAGCTTAGGCCAGAATCCGATTTTGCTAAATTTGAATGATACAATGTTATACCAAGAGCTCAAAAACAAAACAAAATTAAACCACCTAAAATTAAAACCTCAGTCAAGAAATGGGCAAGAGAAATGAAAAGACACTTCACAAAGGAAGAAATACAAATGTTCAATAAATATACCCCCAAAATGCTTAATATCTTTGGGCATTAGAGAAACGCAAATTAAAATAATGCTAAGATCCCATTTTACTCCAGAAAGAATGACATTCATTAAGAAATCAAACAATAACAAAAGCTGGTAAAGCTTTGGTGCAAAAGGAACCCACGTTTATTGTTGTTGTGAATGTAAACTAGTACAACCATAATAGAAATCAGCAAAGTGATTTCTCAAAGAATCAAAATTAGAAATCCATGTGATGCAGTGATCTTGCTAGGTATCTTCTCCAAAGAGCTGATGTTATCATACTACTGTGATACACTCATACCAATGTTTATAGCAGCACAACTTGTAATAGCTAAATTCTAGAAACAGCCTGTACACCCGTCAACAGATTGGATGAACTGAATGTGTTATCTATACATAACAGGATGCTACTCTGCTATTAAAGAAGGACAGATCTGAGACATCTGTAGGAAAATGCATGCATATAAAAAACATAATGTTCAGCGAAACAAACCAGACACACAAGATTAAACACCATGTAGTGTTTCTCATTTGAGTGAGACAAAATACAAATGAGGAGAATAATAAGGGATGGACAGAAGGGGACAAGGGATGGACCTCTTGCAATAGGGAAGTGGTCCAATGGAGAAAGCATGGGGAGTGAGAACAGGAAGGGGAAGTAAGCAGAATAAAGATATGCCATGTACAGGAGCCCAACAAACTCAGTAATGCAGACATGTGCCACAACACTAGCTAAGAGTAATAATATCAGCAAGATGATAAATGAAATGGGAAGAAAAGAGCTAAAGGGGTAGGGAAGGTGGGAAGAGGAGGTGAAAGGAAATAAGGGAAAAGAAAAAATATGAGAAAAGGGAAAAATGCAAACAAAGTCTTTGTAAATAGGGGAGGGTGGAGGGGGTAAAGGGAGGGCAGGGGTATGGGGAAAAAATGAGAACCCAGATCTGTCAGGTAAAGGTACAAGATCCCAATGACAAATGTAACTGTACTGTACACTTAAAAAGTACCATTAAACTCAAAAGAAAAAGAAAAATGGCATGGAGGAACTAGAGAAGGATGGGAGAGGGGGAGGTAGGGGTGGGGGTTATAGAAATACAGCTGTAATATGTACATGTAACCACTCTCCAAGATGACTGTAAACTGCTTCGACTAGAAACCTATGATAACGACATTTTTAAAAATGTAAAGTTTTATAGAAAAATAAAAATAGTGCTCATCTTAATGTGAGAGATGGTATCGTGTTGTGGTTTGTAAGCTAGGTTATCTGTAAATGTAACAACTAAATATTTTATTCAGTGGTAAATGTTCCTAATAAAATATATTTTCAGGAATATCTCTAAAAGTACAAAGAAACAAACAGCAGCTCGGCCCAGACTCCACTTTCAGTTTTGGTGGGCTTTGTTCCAGAAACCCCATGCATGGAGAAGATGGCAGAGCGAGACTGTATAAATAGAGAACTGCTTGGCTAATCCAAGGTCATGCTAGAAATGCTTATTAAAATAGTGCATTTACCTAATTTCAATGGAATGTCACAACAGAAAAACTGAAGTGAAACCCAAGGAACTGCTGAAACCTATGTCACATTTCTGGTACTGCCACTGAAATTGTTTCCTTACATACCCCTCTGAAGGCTCAATGAGGGCTTCAAAGCATTCTCTCAGTACTGATCGGAGCACTTCAAGGTCTTAACGTAAATGCTGTTTGTCTAGTAGATTCATTTCCCGGTGGCTTTCCGGTGTGGCGCTTTCCAGTACCAGGGAGAAACACACGAAGCCGCACTTCTAAGCGTGGTTCTCTATCTCGGTGCTCTGCTTGGGAAGCACAAGTGAAGTCCATCTTTTTGTTTTGCATTCACTGGGAGGTTCGAAAGCTTTTTCTTTATTCTATTGTTTGGATTTTTAGTAGTGCTTCTTCTGTACTTTGCTGGTTTGTATTTAATTCTTTGATCCGTCAAGATGGTTGTTTTGGCCCCATTTGTTTTCTTAACTTGGTAATCTTCCTTCTCATTGCAGCCTATTGCTTAATCATCTTGTTTTTGAGCCATGTATAAATGGCTCCATCCTGAGCTCTTATTGTTCTGTAGCTGATTGTGTTTCCTTTCGCTCTGTGTTTAGAAGTTTTGCATAGTTGAAATACCCACCTCCCCTTTTCTCATGCTTGCTGTGGACAGTGCTGCCCAGGTGTTCTCCTTGCTCTGATAAGTGATTCATTATCCTTCCTTTTTTTCTTTTTCTTTCTTTCTTTCTTTTCTTTTTTTTTTTTGCTTTCTTATTGATCTGGCAATCTTGTCAGTTTCAGTTAAATTCATCAGACTGGATGTTTCTGTAAACTTTTCCAGACCTAGAGAATACAGGTGTGGTCCATGAAACTCAGTTGCAGTTGTGGGCTGACCCCACCTTGGGTGTCTTCTGACATCCCACCAAGTGTCTCGTGCCTGGTCTGCGGCTGGCCATTTAGCTGCATCTCCCCTTCATTCCACTCTCTCTGCCTGGAGCCATAGAAAAGCCTGGTCCCGGTGACTTGTTTTTTCTGCTGACGTCCACTGTTCCTCACTGCTGTTCCATTTTTACTGCAACTGCTGTAACACTTCTTTAAAGATATTCATCATATTATGATGTTCCAATCCCTGCTCAAAACCCCCATTCCACGTCCTCAAAGCTGCCTCCCCATCCTCTATGCACTGGCCACAGTGTCACCCTGCCCCTCTTTGCCTTACTTGGTTCTGACCACACAGTGTCTTTGCTGAACCTTGAGAACGTGGGTCTGCATGCTTTGGGACATCTGCGGTCATGCCTTACCTGCCTAGAGTTCCTACCTTACCCATAACCACATGCTTCCTCCGCTAGGTCCCTCGGCTTGAGATCGTATGTCAGAACTTCAGTGGGATCTTTGCTAACATGTAAGGTTATATGGCTGGTAACCTGATGCACTCTTTCCTAATGTTCATAACCCTCAACAGAATAAATATTTATGTTTTCTTGCTTTAAAAACCATTTTCAACTTTCCTCAGGCACAAGGATTTCTATCTGTTTTGTCCTAGGTTGGTGTTTCATGCAGAATGGGTCCTTGATGATCCACCGGATGTAGAGACGGATGGCACGCAGATGTGTGCTGTGCCCCATGTGTTCACCCCGTCCTTCTCTGTGGCTGTCTCTTGGCACATGTCCCCCCTCCCTCATGCTCTTCCCTAAATTGGAGGTCATTCTTAACAAATCAAAGGTGAAGCTTGACATCAGGTGTTGGTCGTCCAGAATCTTTATTGCTTTCCTTGCTTACTGTTTTTAAGTGTGTTGGATCAGGTCAATCTACTACTTCTGTTAAGTGTGCTCGATAATATTGTAGGCTTTTTTTTAAACAAGTAGCTCCTGGCAGTGTCTGGCCTCTTTTCTTTTTAAATTTGTGTTGATTTTATTAAATATTAGGGAAAGAGAACTCTGTAATCCAGTCTCTTTCTCCCAGTTTTATGCATTGTTTTCATTCAGTGATGTGCTTTGAACTAGATCCTACAGCAATTCTATTAATACCCCAGTGAGTATAAGACTCATGCATAAGAGGCATGCAACTTCATTCTATTCTGTGTCAGATCTCAACACTAATTTCAAGCCTCCATCCCTCTAGCAGTAGAAACAGTCCTCATTAATTTGAGATTTCTGCCCTTTCAAAGGTTACATATCTAAGTGGGTTTCATGTGGTGTAGAAGTTTGAGAGATGGCTAAGGAGTCTGTTCTGGGTCACCATCTCCCCTTGGTGATGTCAGATGAGCTACCCCTGCTCATACCTTTTCTTCTTGTGCCAGTCTACCCCAGTGCCTGCTCCACATACCTCAGGTCCACTGGCTCTTGGCTGCTTCAGGCTGCAAAGTAGTGATTTCTTTTTCTCCCACATTATGCTAAGTATCTGGGAACTTGCCCCTTCCCCAGCCTTATCTGGAAAGAAAAGCACCAGTCACCAGTCCTTGGTGCTATGGAGTTTTTCATGTCTTCAGCCCCATCCATCTTTACCTGGCACTAAGGTGATAAAGCAGGGAGCCTCTTCTCAATGACTGTCCTCCCTTCTCCTGGCCCATGGAATAATTTCCTAATTTTAGGAGGCAGAAAGAGGTCTGCATTATGTATTCTCTATTTTTAGAATTGATATTTAAATTTTTGGAGATTCAAAGACCCTTTCCTGTCTTCTGTTGTTATTTCTCCTCCTTGAATCAATGATGATATCCTGTCTAACCCTAGAATGTACTAAGGATAGGAAGAGGCTAGACATATTAGGAAATATCAGGACAACCACAATGCTTGATATATATATACAAGAATATCATCTGCAAATGAACATCTAATACACACCAGAAATTGTCATTACTTGGGATTGCTCACCACCCCACAAAATTAACACTGCTCTCATTCTATGGCTTGGACACCTGAGCCCTTGTGAGATC